ACATCCATGCCGTTAAATCACTTAGTAGGTTAGTAATGCGAAGACTGAAGGGGTGAGGTGAGGAGCAGAAAGATAGATTTGTGTGTCATCAGCATAGAGATGGTACTTGAAGCTATGGGAGTTTATAAAGTGACCAAGGGAGAAGTTGTAGATGGAGAAGAGAAGAAGGGGCCCAAAAACGGAACCTTGAGGGACCCCTACAGAAAGAGGGAGTGGAGAAGACAGTTATAGGTAATGTTGAAGGAGCACTGCAATAGATAGGAGAACCAGGGGAGAGAGCAGAGTCTCGCAGGCCAAGAGAGTGGATTTTTTTTTTTTTGAGGAGGGGATGGTCAACAGTATCAAAGGCCGCAGAGAGGTCAAGTAGAAAGAGTACGGCGTAGTGGCCAATGGTTTTAGCAGTTAGTAGATCATTAGTGAGTTTAGTAGGGCAGTTTCAGTGGAGTGTTGTGAGCGAAAGCCAGACTGTAAAGGGTCGAGAAGGTTGTTGTCAGTGAGGTAGGAGCTCAGGCGATTGTAGACTAAGCATTCTAAGTGTTTAGAGGTGAACAGGAGCAGGGAGATAGGTCTTAAATTGTTCATGTTTGTGGGGTCAAGGGAGGGCTTTTTAAGTATGGCAGTGATGTGTGCATGCTTTAGAGGGGTGGGGAAGGCACCGTTAGAGAGGGAGAGATTGAAGATGTGAGTGAGGGAGCACAGGATGGAAGAGGTTAAACCGTAGTAGTTGTGAGGGGACAGGATCCAGGGGGCAGGTAGAGAGGCGGGCTTCTGAAAAAACCTTAGTGACCCCTTCGGTAGTAGTAAGAGAGGAAAGTGTTGAGGGAGGTTTGGTATAAGGTATGCTAAGTGGGATGGATGGATGTCTGTGCAGTAGAGATGCCCCTACGAATTGCATCAATCTTGTTTTTGAAATGATTTACAATCTCGTAAGCAGTGAGTGAGGTGCTGGGTGGAGGTAAAGGTGGAGAAAGAGTTAAAAGTGGAGAAGAGACGACGAGGACTGGATGATAAGCTATTGATGAGAGTGACAAAGTAGGCTTGTTTAGCAGCATGGAGGAAGGAATTGTATGTTAATAAAGCAAATTTATATAAGGTGAAAGCTTGGTGCAATTTGGTTTTACGCCACATTTGCTCCAGCGCACGACTATGTCTCTTAAGATTTCTGGTGTCGTCAGTCTGCCAAGGTTGTAACGGTCGGGCCTGATGCTTTGTGTGGTTAGAGAAGTGAGTCTAATGTGGATGAAAGTGAACTGTGTAGACAGCAGTGACCAGGTCAGGGCAGGACAGGAGAATTATTCTGTCATAGAGGTAGTCAGTTGCAGAGTAGCAAAGAGAAGGGTTAAAGTTGTGAAGGTTTCTGCGGGTAGTAGTTTGATGCTTGGAGGGATAGGTGTTTGAAGACGAGGAGACTGTGAAGGTAAGCAATGTGGGGAAAGTTCATGCCTCCCCAGACTTAGCAGAGACTTTCCCTCTTTTTACACCCAACTATACAACCTGGACTCGACTGCTTTGTCCAGTCTGACTCAATGTACACTCCCAGATTTTAATACCGATGTCAAGAAGCGAACCTTCCTAAGCTCAAGGGGGAGGAAAGAGACTATCTATATCAACCGATTACTGTAGAAGAATTTGCGGCTGTTATACCTGGAACCCACAAAGAAAAAACTGGTCACCTACCCAGGTCTATAACTGGCTTTTTAAACAGTGAGCATGGAAGGCGTCACAAAGTAAAAAATAGGACTATCCAGTTCAACTTGCCAGCCTACCCCAGTCTAATAATGGCTATTGTCGGCAAGGAACATAGATAAGTATAACTTATCAAAAGAGGGGGATAAGAAAGCCAGTTCAAACTGCCAGTCAGTTAGCCAACTATCAAAAACCAAATTAACCTGTCTAAGAACATGCGTTTAAAAACAGGGGTTTAGTTACCACACATTTGCAAATACATACGTAAGCCACAGAGCCACATCACGGCACCCTGAGTATCTGTGGTTCTAACTCTATAAATCTTGAGAGTCCTCACAATGGAGGCACATGCATTTAAATGGATAGAAACAAGGGCAGGTGAACCTGGGGGAGCCCACCCCTCATTAAGGCCATGGGAGCGAACCTTACACCCAGCATGTAGCACAAAGGCAGCCAGGGTGTCCAAAAAAAAAAAGATAAAAATTATAGAGGAGGCTCATAAAACAGACTGCTTTGTTAATGTTAGTGGCAGACAATTTAGCTCATTTTTTATTTTGCCTTTAGTAAAATTTTAGAAGACCTTACATTTACCAAAAGCATATGCTTAATTAGCTTAAAATTGTCAGTCCAACAAAAATTGGTATCATTAGTTTTTGGTAGATGACGGGGCATTATAAACAAGTGTCCTATAGTTCTTTGGATCTTTTTTTCATCAGATCTCTGCACCTTATTGCCTCAGTCAGTACAGCCATTATGAAGCGATCCCTCTCACTTGGATTAATTACTTTAAAACCATTGGAATGCAACAGAAGATGCTGAGACACATAAAAGTGAGTGGGAACACTGAAAACTCCCAGCTGCAGAGAACATCAAGAAATAATGTAAGACTAAACATGGCCATAAACTTACAGAATTTCATTAGAAAATGTTTGTTTTAAGAACATTACTTGATTTTCTAATCATTTGTGGGGGAAAAAAATCAGCATTTAATTTCTACCGCAGTGATGAGAAAATTCAAAGGAACAAGATAGAACATTTTTCTTGAACAATAAATTTCTAAAAGTGAACATGGTTTTTGTTTGGGAAAGTCCATTTACTCCACAATCGAATGTTAACAGCAAACAAAATTTTGAAGTACTTTAGAATGACATTTGTCAAGGCACTGAATGTACAGGTACCGCACTTTTTGGTGCGTTTATCGTGAGACAAAACAAGCAAATGAGCACCTGCTACCTGCGCTTGGGGTTCCATTAACATTTAATGGCAACACAAGCATGATGCTTGACAGATTCAGAGAGCAACTAATAGCACCTTATGCCCAAACTGGCATTCCAGGAGGCCTGAACATCCATCTAGTAGCACTTAAATCTGTGAAACAGTGAAAAACTCCAGGGAAAAGCCCCTGGAAGGACATTCTGGACCCAAGTGTCTGAGATTATTGGCTACTTTGGAGAAGTAGAGATAACCCAACACAGGGAAGAAGCCTTTCAACTAGCCTAGGCTGTTCTGGAGGGCCATGACGTCTTATAAACATATGCTGCTGACTTAGATTTGAAAATGGAACACTGAGAGGGACGAAAGAAACCTTCCTCATGAGTAGAAGTCCTACCAGTAAAGGCACAGGCCTTTATCTGGGGAGAAAAGTAATGTTATCCAAGGAGGTATCAACAGGTGTTCACCTCAAAGGGCTCAGGGCACTTCTGGGGATCTTAGCAGTTATGCCAAAAGGATCCTGTGCATATGGGTGGAGAGAAGACCCATCCCAGAGATCTGACAAAGGGTGTCTGCCAAAAGCCATTCACGCAGAAGTGCAAGGCTGTAGGTAAAAGGTCTAACTCACTGTGAACAGAGGAATCTAATGGGATGTAATAAGGATTTTGAACCGTTTACAAACTGCAATTTCATCTATTGCAGCTTGACAGACTATTGCCGATTGTATGGCAGGAGCCTGCTAAGTAAAAGAGGGCCCTACCTCCTCCTCGAATTAGAAAGAAGTTGGTGTGAAGACAAGCCAGCAGAATGACCAGACCAAAGCAGGGAGTCATATTTAGGGAAATCATCAGAATAAAGGGTACTAGGGCCCTGCGTGGATAAACCACAATCCCCACTGAAGCACAGTGCTGAGCTAGGAAAAAGGCACGATTCTCTCAGTAGAGGAGGCCGCCCATCACCTAAGGACACCAGCAATTTTTTTTTCAGGTCCAATCATCTGAAAGTGGAACTACACTGCATCTGAGCACCACAAAGCAAAAAGGCTATTTAATTCATTTTTAATATTCAATGCAAACTCCCCCATACATCCATGTCTCCATGCTTTATTTTGCTAAGAAATTACTTTAAAAAACACACCCCTAGCATTTCTGGCCATGGCCATCTTGAGTAAGGGCAGATGATTCCGATTGGGAGGCACTCGTGTGGGCTTGCTCCCAAGCCCCGCTGTTGCATCCATTGACACAGACAGTGGGACATAGCCCCTTCTCCCACTCCCTTGTCACTGGAGTTGATTGACAGGAGCAGGAGCCAATGGTTCTCACTGCTTTTGATCTGCTCAGTGAAGAGGGACAAAGCCAGGAGAGCCGCAGCTCTCATGCAAAGTGCTGGATTGCCATGGGGTTCAGGTGAGTATAACTGGAGTAAGGGGGTGAGTCTGGCCCAAGTGGTTTTTTACTATAATGCATTAGGGTAAAAAAAAAAACCCTAAGGCTTTCGAACCACTTGAAGTTAGCTTCATTTAATCCATGGTAAAGTCCAATGTTCCGCTTTACAACCAAGAATATAAGTAGCAGCAATGTGTGATACCACCCAAGACTTGACAACACTGCTAAAAGGAAAACCAAAACAATTTACCCATTCTTTTCAGATGTTTCTAAAATGTTATTTGTCGACATAGTTTAAAGTAGTCACAGTAAACACCAAAATCTACAACTGCTGTTATTGTACCACTCATTTGGTCAATAAAAAGCAATTCTGGTTGTAAAAAAACCCAAAAAGACCAAAATTTGATCTAGGCTAAATACAATGTCATGTTACAAGCAACACAAGGCAAAGGCCAATAGGTAAGAAGATGAGTGGCTGCAGGACATAATTATACAAGCTGCTAATCCGTGCAGCAACCTCTAAATTTTCTGTTAATCAGCTTGTAAAGTATGCAAGTTTAGAATTTGTGAGATCTCTACATGTCAAATCAGAAACAACAGGTGTGAGGAATGCTACACCTGTCAGCTAGAATTAAACACTCTAGTGTTTTACACCTTCAGTTGCTAATTGAAGAAAACATGCCCAAGGGAAAAAAAAAAAAAAAAAAAAATACGAACCTCACTGAGTGTTACATTTTCTAAGGAGAGATCTTCAAGTTTCAGTGCAACCAAAGAGGCCTCTAACTCCTTTATGTAGTCGTTCAGGTCTGTGAGCAACTTTTGCAGCCCATTGACAAAGTCCTGGAAGCCAGTGAACACCGGAGGCTGGAAAATGAAAGGAGGACAATGAGACCTATATAACATGGAAATTACCTTTATAAAATGAGCAACAGTTGCATCAAAGTATCAACTTTAACAAGGCAACCAAGTAAGGACTTTAAAGTGATTCTAAAGGTTTAACCACTTGCCAACCAGCCGCAGTATATGTGATTTTGCCTGCTCCAATTCAGGGGAGCACTGCGTTATGCGATCACATTATGGTGTCAACAAAGCTGGTATGAATTCATTCATAACAGCTGTGTTTACTAGGCTGTGATTGGCCCAGGTACCATGTGACAGCTGTGGGCCAATCACAGCACCCTGTACCTGTAGCCAATCACAGATTGCTAGTAATCACAGCTGTCATGAACAGTTTTAAAACCCATTCATGACAGTTGAAAAACTGATTAGTCCAAAGCTTCTGTAAAAAAAGAGAAACAAATCCCTTAGAGTAGTACTAGTGCAGTGATACTATGGTGACAGTGAATTACTCTGATGAAAGCATGAAAAAAATAAAATATAATAAAAATATAATATTTTATATTTGTATATCCATGCCTTTACAATCACTTTAAAGGTATTAGGTAGTGTTGGGGTTAGGCATTAATGGTTTAGTTAAATGTTTAAGGTATAAGTCCAGTCTAAACTTAAACCTGCTCCCACCCACATTCTAGGCCTTAACTTATCCCGTAGAGGAAGATGTATATACTTACCTATTTAAAGGGCACTCCAGTCAGGTCACATAATATGCTCCAGTGTAGAGAGAGGACAGATGAAAAAAAGATGCCCCCTAGTAAGCTTATAGATGACATCACTGCAGAGGCATTGTTGCAGTGGTTGTTGGTGAGCTCTCCTCTCCCCTGAAGCCAGTTTAGAATAGGGGTGGGAAGCAGGTTTAAGTTTAGTTTTTGACTGGACTTCTACTTTAAGTATTACACAATCACAAAATAAGTCTGCCTATGTACATATACAACCAACAGTTTAAAACTTTGTTTCCAGTAATCAATTTAATGTTTTATTAAATTCCACAAAATCAAATTTACAGTATCAGCCAAATACATATTGTACACAAAAGCGTGAACAGACATTAAAATATACTTAACAGCATCATAATTTTTAGCAAGAATGTGCCCTTGGTTTTATTTCCAGTTCAGAGAACCTACAGCTGTTTATCACCTTCTAAACAGTTACTGTTTGTTTTAATGTTCAACATTACATTTTCCAGAAAGCGCACACTGCACGTATCTTTACTTACTGTAGTACTACTTTCTTTTTTCTTCTTTTTCTTCTTCTGAAGATTTGACTTGAATGGCCTAAGAACAGCAGCAAAATATCCTGATACCCAGAAAAACAATAGATATAGCCTGCAGAAAATAAAACCGTAAAATCAATACATCACTCTCAAGCCACAAACCTTTCAACAAATGCCTCTTGAAACAAATATCAAAGTTTCCTGGAAAACAAGCAAGTTCACATGCACACAGAAAAAAAAAAAAAAAATATGTTTTACAAATCTATGTGCTGCTGTGAACTAGATTTCATCAGTAGAAAATAATATACGCAAGAAGTGGTCTGCAGTCCCACCCCAAACACTTCATCATCTAAGCCATTCTTTTGCTTTATGTTGAGGCCCGAAAGATTTCATATAGACTTTATAAATAGAAGTCTTAGGTTTGACATATAATAAGTCAGCCTTTTTCATCCAGGGTGCCTTGAGGTTTCTTTAGGGGTGCCTTGGCAAAATGTCTAAAAACTGGCCAAAACTTGTATACAAGCCAGCGGGTGGAATAAGCCTGCCTTTTAGTTACACAAAGCCACAGGTTTTTATTGTGCTCCATTAGGACCTTCTAGCCATCGGGTGTCCTAACAGCCAATGACATCATCCATTGATAACGAGGATGTCGGTTGTCTGCACAGCATCCTTGTTTGACCCTCCCCTGCCTCTCTCTGTCAGTGCTGGGGTCACATTAGCTCAGTGATGGAGAAAAGAGAAGAGAAACTTTGGAATACTAGTCAGTACCAGTGTGCAAAAGGGTATTTGCTTTGGAAGTATAAATCATCTCTAACGCTGGGTGTCCTACGCGTGTGGATGTTGCTGCGTTATATAAAATTAGTAGAATAGTTTTTTACATTTTAGAATGGGGTGCCTCAAGACTGTCCATAAATTTCAGAGGGTGTTTTGACATTGTCCATAGTTTTAAAGTGTGCCTTGAATGACAAAGGGTTGAGAAACACTGCAATAGGTTAACAGGACGTTCTCATTGTAATTCATATTGGTCATACACAGGACACTATAATTTGTTACATTTCTTTGGAGAAAGGTTTTTGTGTTTCAGGTAAAAGCTACATTAAATGGTCAGTCTGATCAATACATGAAAGCTACCATTGGAAAAGAACAGTTGTGCCTGATGGAAAATCAAGCAGAGTTCAACCAAACTAATATTTTTCTTTCTTGTGGCAAACAGTCACACATTCTTTTTAATCTGGGGAAAACTATACATGACATACACTGTACCATGACTATTAATGAACGGCATTCACCTGAGCTGTCTATTGATTCATAAATCATTTTACATGTTTTCACAATCAGAACTTGGAAGAAAGAAGCAGAAGACAAATTATAGATTAATTATATACACAAGTTATACTTCTACCATCTCCCTACTACTGCTCTCATAACATCCTTTACTCACCTGCTGACTCAAACAGCAGGACAGGAAGGCATGTGCACTCATATACATCCCTCTCCCATCTTACTTTCCTCACCCTCCTTCTCCTAACCTCTGGGGATATCTCCCCAAACCCTGGTCCTCCAGTATCTCTACTCACACTAGGCACTCCTCCTTTCTCCAGGAATAGCTGAAATCCACTCAACTTAATCTCAATCCCCATGCTCTTAAAAACCACCATCCCTTTTTCATGTGCACTCTGGAATGCCCGCTCTGTCTATAATAGGCTCACCTCTGTCCATGACCTTTGTCTCCCACTCCCTTAAACTACTAGCAATTACAGAAACCTGGCTTCAAGCATCAGAGTACTTTCCTATGGAGGCCTTCTCTGGACCCACTCTCCCAAACCCAGTGGTCAGAAAAAAAGGTGGAGTTGGTTTGCTTCTATCCCCACTGAGCACCTTTCAAGTCCTCGCTAACCCTCCCTCTCTATCCTTCTCTTCGACACTCACTGCATTCGGCTGTTTTCTCCCATTTCTCTGAGGATTGCATTAATCTGCTAGCCTCCTAGACTTTATGACTTCTCTGCTTGGCTATCCTACTTTCTCTCCTCTGAAAAACCCACTATCATTCTTGGAGATTTTAACATCCCTATTAATGTGAACAACCCAGCTACATCCCAACTCTTCAACCTAACCATCTTTTGCCTTAACACAATGGATACAGTCCTCCACTCTGATGGGAATACACTAGACCTTATTTTCTCCCATCTTTGCACTCCCTACAACCTCACAAACACCCCCTTTCCTCTCTCTGAAGACGAGGACACTGTGAAGGTGATGAGATTGTGATCAAACACTTATCCTTCCAAGCAGCAAACAATTACCCACAGAAACCTTCACAACTTAAACCCTTCTCTTTTCCACTCTACAACTGACCAACTCTGACAATCTCTCCCCTGTCATGCTCTGACCTGGCCACTGCTGTCTAAAACATTTTGCTTTCATCCACACTAGAGTCACTTGCTCCTCTAACTACACGAAGCATCAGGCCTCGACCATTACAACTGTGGCAGACTTACGATACCAGAAATCTTAAGCGACATAGTCGTGTACTGGAGCGATAGTGGCGTAAAACCAAATCCCAGCAAGCATTCACCCCATATAAATCTGCTTAATATACAATTCCTCCCTCCATGCTGCCAAACAAGCCTACTTTGTCACTCTTATTAAACACCTTGTCATCCAGTCCTCGTTGTCTCTTCTCTACTTTTAACTCTCTACTTTCTTCACCTCCACCCAGTAACTCACTCACTTTTTACGAGATTGCAACTCATTTCAAAAACAAGACTGATGCAATTCATAGTGGCATCTCTGTTAAACATCTATCCCACTTAGCATACCTTATACTAAACCTCCCTCAATACTTTCGTCTTTTGACCTTGCTACTACTGAAGAGGTCACTAAAGTTTTCTCAGAAGCCTATCTCACCATGTGCCCCGTGGATCCTGTCCCCTCTCAACTACTACGGTCACCCTCTTCTTCTATCCTATGCTCCCTCACTCACATCTTCAAATCTCTCCCTCTCTAATGGTGCCTTCCCCACCCCTCTAAAGCATGCACAGATCACTCCCATACTTAAAAAAACCCTCACTGGACCCCACCAACATGAACAACTTAAGACCCATCTCCGTACTCCCATTTACCTCTAAGCTCTTAGAACGCTTAGAATACAATCGCCTGAGCTCCTACCACACTGACAACAACCTTCTTGACCCTTTACAGTCTGGCTTTCGCTCAATACACTCAACTGAAACAGCCCAACTAAAACCCACTAATGATTTACTAACTGCTAAAAACAATGGCCACTACTCCATACTCTTACTATTTTACCTCTCTGTGGTTTTGATACTGCTGACCACCCCCTCAAAAAAAAAAAAAAAAAAAACCAAAAAAAAAAAAAAACCCTCCACTCCCTTGGCTCCAAGACTCTGCTCTCTCCTGATTCTCCTCCTACCTATCGCAACTCTCCTTCAGCGTTATCTATAACTCCCTCAAGGTTCTGTCCTTGGACCCCTTCTGTTCTCCATCTACACCTCCTCCCTTGGTCACTTGATAAACTCCCATGGCTTTAAGTACCATCTCTATACTGATGACACAAAAAAAAAAAAAAAAAAAATCTATCTTTCAATTCCTCACCTCACCCCTTCAGTCTCCTCTCGCATTACCAACCTACTAAGTGACATATCAGCACTTCCTCAAACTAAATCTTTCCAAAACGGAGCTCATACTATTCCCTCCAACCCATGTCCCCTCCCGCCCATGCCCCCTCCCCTGACTTCTCCATCAAGATCAGTAATACAACCATCAGTCCCTCCCCTCATGCCAGGGTGCTAGGTGTAATCCTGAACTCCCATCTGTCCTTTCAGCCCCAAATCCAATCACCGTCCAAATCTTGTAGACTTCACGTCCACAACATCTCTAAGAAACGGCCGTTCTTAACCTCTGAAACCACTAAGCAACTTGTTATCTCTCACCTTGATTATTTTAACTCCCTCCTCACTGGCCCACCTAATCGCAGGCTACACCCTCTTCAATCTATCATGAATGCTGCTGCCAGAGACTTATCCACCTAACAGTTCCATATCTGCCAATCCCTCCACTGGCTTCCCATTGCCCAACAAAATTCAAAACATTAATAACTTAAAACCGTTTATAACTCTGCCCCCAATTATATCACCAATCTTGTTCCCAAATATCACCCAAACTGTCCTCTCCGCTCCTCCCACGACCTCCTGCTCTCTAGTTCCCTTGTATCCTCCTCCCATGCTCATCTGCAGGACTTCTCCAGAGCCTTCCCCATCCTCTGGAACTCTCTACCCTTAATTTATCCGACTATCGCCTACTCTGCCCACTTTTAGGCGATCTCTGAAAACCTCTCTCTTCAGGGAAGCCTATCCTGCCCTCAGCTAATAATGGAATCTTCTATTCCTATCAGTTCATCCCCCACAGTTATTACCTTTTGTACCACCAGCCCCTCCTTAGATTGTAAGCTCCAAGGAGCAGGGCTCTCCTAACCCTCTTGTATTGAACTGTATTGTTGCTGTATTGTCTCGCCTTAGATTGTAAAGCACAGAGCAAAGTGTTGGCGCTATATAAATCCTGTATAATAATAATAATAATATACACAAACAAAACCTCCACAAAGAAGACTAAGTTCTCAATTATAAGAGGCGATGGCTTGTAGTGCCCTTCTCGGGACAATAGAAGATCTCCTTTACACTGGCTGAAAAGATCTGAAAAGATCAAAATATGAGCTTAGTATTTGTGAAAAACAATGTACTGACAATAGCTATGTATATATTAAAGGCACTCACATGCCACATTGTATTGTACACCAAACCAAAAAAGAAAATGAATTGCACTTTACTGGCCCAACAAAGGTAACACACATATTTAAAGAGTATGTAAATCCAACATTTCATATTCCTGACATGTGCCTGCTGTACCATGTACTTGTGTGAAAAAGTATCCAGTTCTCTTTTTATTGCTTCCTTTGTGTGAAATCCCTGGTCTTCCTGACAGCCCCCCTTTTCCTATTAGAGAACTGACCACACGAGGCATGAGCATAACGTAGTAGTGTGCTCTCCTCCACTGGTCAGACTGGTACTGACATGCTCACCCCTATCTTCCCCTGCACAGCTTTTCACTGGGAAGATCAGTGTGCTACTCTTTCTTCTTCCTTAGCTTTTTAGAGATAATAATAAAAAAAGGGTTTAAATTTCTTTTTACATCTATATACGCAAATATTTTGCCTTTCATTTCTATTTTAAACAATGTTTTACCAGGTGAGGGTTTACCATCACTTTAAAGTATAAAAACTATCACATTTTATTACAAATATACATTTGCTAAAATTATACAAGGACCTAGACCAGCAATGGGCAAACTACGGCCCGCGGGCCGTATACGGCCCGGCGGACCTTTTAATCCGGCCCGCGGAGCTAGGCTCCCGCAAGGCCAGTGGTCGGCAAGCCGCGGCTCTTTACAAATTTAGATGCGGCTCTCCTGTGTGCCGGGCGCCCGCTCCCCTCCCTCCTCTCCTCCTCTCCCCTCCCTCCTCTCCTCCTCTCCCCTCCCTCCTCTCCTCCTCTCCTCTCGGATGGCCGCCCCCCCTCTCGGATGGCCGCCCCCCTCCCTCCTCTCGGACGTCAGGACTCTGCAGCTGTCAGGATGTAGGCGGGGCAGCGTGACGAACTCCTCTCACAGTCCTCCCTGAAGACCAGAACGGCGCGGGAATACGAGAGGAACGCGCGGACCAAAGGTAAGTGAATTGACACAGGGGGGGGACTTACTATATGGGGGATGAATTACTATATGGGGGACTTACTATATGGGGAATGAATTACTATATGGAGGACTTACTATATGGGGAATGAATTACTATATGGAGGACTTACTATATGGGGAATTAATTACTATATGGAGGACTTACTATATGGGGAATGAATTACTATATGGGGGACTTACTATATGGGGGATGAATTACTATATGGGGGACTTACTATATGGGGAATTAATTACTATATGGAGGACTTACTATATGGGGAATGAATTACTATATGGGGGACTTACTATATGGGGAATGAATTACTATATGGGGGACTTACTATATGGGGAATGAATTACTATATGGGGGACTTACTATATGGGGAATGAATTACTATATGGGGGACTTACTATATGGGGAATGAATTACTATATGGAGGACTTACTATATGGGGGATGAATTACTATATGGAGGACTTACTATATGGGGAATGAATTACTATATGGAGGACTTACTATATGGGGAATGAATTACTATATGGGGGACTTACTATATGGGGAATGAATTACTATATGGAGGACTTACTATATGGGGAATGAATTACTATATGGGGGACTTACTATATGGGGGATGAATTACTATATGGGGGATGAATTACTATGTGGGGGATGAATTACTATATGGGGGATGAATTACTATATGGGGGATGAATTACTATATGGGGGATGAATTACTATGGGGGATGAATTACTATGGGGGATGAATTACTATAGGGGGGATGAATTACTATGGGGGACGAATTACTATATGGGGGACGAATTACTATATGGGGGACGAATTACTATATGGGGGACGAATTACTATATGGGGGACGAATTACTATATGGGGGACGAATTACTATATGGGGGACGAATTACTATATGGGGGACGAATTACTATATGGGGGACGAATTACTATATGGGGGATGAATTACTATATGGAGGACTTACTATATGGGGAATGAATTACTATATGGGGGACTTACTATATGGGGGATGAATTACTATATGGGGGATGAATTAATATGGGGGATGAATTACTATGTGGGGGATGAATTACTATATGGGGGATGAATTACTATATGGGGGATGAATTACTATGGGGGATGAATTACTATAGGGGGGATGAATTACTATGGGGGACGAATTACTATATGGGGGACGAATTACTATATGGGGGACGAATTACTATATGGGGGACGAATTACTATATGGGGGACGAATTACTATATGGGGGATGAATTACTATGGGGGATGAATTACTATATGGGGGATGAATTACTATGGGGGATGAATTACTATATGGGGGATTAATTACTATATGGGGGATTAATTACTATGGGGGATTAATTACTATGCTTACTATGGGGGAATATTACTATACTTACTATGGATGACACATACACATCATTCATCTACTCTTGGTCCGGCCCCCGGGTCCAATATATGAACCCATTGCGGCCCTCAAGTCAAAAAGTTTGCCCACCCCTGACCTAGACCATAAAAGCAATGCCTGAACATATTTGTGAATACTAAAGATAACGACGACTTATCCACCACAATAACAGACCTTTTCTTATGCGTATAACTCACTGTACATTATAACATAAAATTATGTGGAGATAAGTCCTCATAGGTCAACTTTTTTCTCACTATTGCTTCTTCAGGATGTATAAAGGAAAGTTGCAGTTGTAACTCGAATATGCTGATGTGGCTAGCATGCAAGGAATTCACCAGGACGGGCACCGAGACAAAAAAAAGACAACGAGGGAATCGCAACGAGAAAAAGATATTTAGAAAAACAGGTTTGATAAGTGGCATGAAGCTATGGGTACCTACTGCAAGGGATAAAAGATTCAATCAAAAGCATGGTGGCTACAAAGCGATAGAACAATGGCCAGAGATATATAAACCCTACACAAGGGCACAGGAATTCACCCCTCTTAGTACTTTGGATCAATCATCAGTCTCAGAATTCCTAAACATGTGTTTCAATATGAAATCCCTTCAGGATAAAAATTGCCCATACACCACTATTCATTGGAAGATATGTTGTTAGCTCATAAGTTTCTTGCCCACATAGATTCCCCAGAGCATACTAGCCTGTGTGTCTTGAAGAAGTAACGTGAGAAAAAAAAAAAAAAAAAAAAAAAAAAAAAAAAAAAAAAAAAAAGAGTTGACCCATGAGGACTTATCGCCACAGAATTTTATGTTATGATAATGTGCAGTGCGTTATATGTCTAAGAAACATTCCGTTACCGTGGTGGAGAAGTCGCAGATGGTATCTGTATCTTGCATGTTCACAAATATGTACAGGCATTGCTTTTATTGTTTATAAATCGGTCCTTTAACAAATGTATTTTTGTAATAAAAATAATAAAATGATTGTGCTGCAATTTTATTATATTTATGTTTTGGGTATATGTATATTGCCCTAGATCAGTGGTCGGCAAGCCGCGGCTCTTTACACGCTTTAATGCGGCTCTTGGGTGCCGGGCGCCTGCTCCCCTCCCTCCTCTCGGGCGGCAGGGACTCTGCAGCGTGATCCAAAAAAAAAAAAACAGCCAGGGCAGCGCGCTCAAATGCAATGATTGGCCAGTCTCGCTGCCACTCACATCCTGATAGCCAGTGATTGGCTGTCAGGATGTGTGTAGGCGGGGCAGCGTGACGAACGTGAGAGGAGCTAGGCTCCTCTCACAGTCCGCCCTGAAGACCGGAGCGGCGCGGGAACACGGCGAGAGGAACGCGCGGAGCAAAGGTAAGTGAATTGACACAGGGGGGACTTGGCTTACTACTTGCTACTTACTTACTACTACTATATGAGGGATGAATTACTATAGGGGGGACGAATTACTATAGGGGGGACGAATTACTATAGGGGGGACGAATTACTATAGGGGGGACGAATTACTACAGGGGGCATGTTCTGGAATGACGTCCGTGGACGTCATCCCAGATCTAGACAACCGTGCTGTAGCCGTCTTTCGACTATAGCGCGGTAGTGAAGAGGTTAATGGTAATGAATGGCTTTTATTCATGACAGCTTGTTTACTACTGTGATTGGTTACAGCTAATCATATGGTACAGGGTGCCAGGTACCATGTGATAGCCATGAGCCAATCACAGCATCACAACAGTAAGCAAGCTATCATGAATGGAAACCATTCATGACAGTTTTGCAAACATGTAATCATGCGATTGCTATGATTGGTCAAAGCAACCACGATGCCCCGGCTATTCACAGCAGCAGGGTACAGAGCACCATGATCACACCCAAGGGGCGCGTCAGTGCTAAGCGACGTACCAATACATCGCTTAGCCTGAAGCTGCTGCCCACAGTAAATGTACTGTGGGGGGCGGGGTGACAAGTGGTTAAATGTGTGATTTCTTTTTGTGCCAGTAAAGTCCGATTCTCTTTTTAAGTTTGGTGACAAAAGCAAAACATAATAAACATTCAGCACATACCTTTTAAGTAGCCTAGAGAAGAGTTTAATCTGTTCCCAATTTTTTCTTGAATGTCACAACTATCATCTGGAAAGAAAGGAAATTTAATTAAAAAAAAAAAAAAAAAAAAAAAAAAAAAAAAAAAAAAAAAACATTCATTTTTGGCCATTAACAGGAATCTGAATGTTTATTTAGTCTTAGTATTAACTGTGCAGATTAACTAGTGAAGCATTTATACTTTCCTTTTATTAGTGTTGAAGACTTTATGAAACCTGACACTTCAGCTGGAGTGTCAGGTATAGCTGTTGCCAGTGAACTGCCTGAACTCACACACACAGAAGACTGGGAATGTGTGTGAGGTTAGGCTAATGACAAGACATCACACAGAGAAAAAGAGGACAGAGCAGTGTCCTGTTACTCAGACATAAAATGTGCAGGCAAGTCAAAATTCCTATTATCTTACCCACACAGTAAACAACACAGGAATTGATTCTTAAACTATGGGATGCCCCCAAGCAATAATTTGAGGAGTGTGAAACTCAATAACCAAAACAGCAGTATCAGGCTCACAGGAAAGACAAAGACCCAAACAGATAGCAGACCCAGGAGCAAAAATGATTGGCATCTTAAAACTGTAAGAAATAATTGCATTCCAAGTTTGTGATGCGCCTGTAATTTGTAATTAAACTCACTTGTACCAATTAACAGGATATTACTGTTCCTGTGTCCACTGTGCGCATCATTGTCAAGAAGTTTACAGCATATGGCACTGTAGCTAATAAACTTTCAGACAACTTCAAGCTAACCTTCAAGCACAGGGTACAACTGTGTCAGCTCACACTATACGTCACAATCTGAATTAAAAGGGATGCTATGGTAGGAGACCAAGGAGGACCTGACTGCTGACACAGTAACAAAGCCAGATTGGAGATTGCCAAAAATCCTTTTGGGAGAATGTGCTGTGGACAGATGAAACAAAATTACAGCTTTTTGGTAAAGGCCATCATTCTACTGTTTTCAGAAAGAAAAATGAGGCCTTTAAAGAAAAGAATACAGTACCTACAGTCACTCATGGTGGAGGTTCATTGATGTTTTGGGGCTGCTTTGCTGCTTGAGGCACTGGATGTCTTGACCATGTGCATAGCATTATGAAATCTGAAGACTACCAAAAGAATTCTGGGGTGCAATGTAGGGCCCAATGTCATAAAATTGGGTCTCCATCAGAGGTCGTGGGTCTTACGGCAGGACAATGACCCAAAGCACCCGTCAAAAAGCACCCAGAAATGGTATAAGAAAGCACTGGAGAGTACTGAACTGGCCAGCAATGAGTCCAGATCTCAATCCCATAGAGCACCTGTGGAGAGATCTCAAAACAGCAGTTTGGAAAAGGAACCCTTTCAATCTGAGAGACCTGGAGCAGTTGGCAAAAGCAGAGTGGTAAAACATTCAAATAGAGAGGAGTAGGAAACTCACTGATGGTTACAGGAAGGGATTGATTTCAGTTATTTTTCCCATGGAGTGTGCTACCAAATATTAAATTGAGGGTGCCAATATATTTGTCCAGTCCATTTTGTGGGGTTTTGCGTGGAATGTGTCAGATTTTGCTTTTTGTGTCTCCACTGTTTTGTGTCATACCAATACAAAGAAAAGACATAAACATGAGAATGCCTAAACATTTGTAAATGCAGCAATTTTCTAGGAAAAGTGGTGCATTATCTGGCAGAAATGCAGGGGTGCCAATATATTTGACCATGACTGTAGGGAGTGTAGGAACCAGGGTGTTAGGAAGAAGATATATAGAAGGCCGAACACCAAGACCTGCAGAGTACCAAGGGCTAGTTTTTGGCAATGCCAGAAAGAGTTGCAGGATGCGGAACAAACAGGTTCTGGGATGGGGTTCCCTATCATTACACTAGGTGAGATTTAGCAGTTAACTGCACAGATTGCATCACCTGCCAAGGTGAATTTGATTTCTACTGCAGGGTCCTGGCGCATTTCCCAAGGTATAGACGGAGGGTATCCTATCACAAAACTGCTAGTGCGCCATAAGGCAATAAGCAATCAGATCCTGGTAGAAATGGAAGATGAAGAAGGCTAAAGGAAATATGGAGAAAAATAGTAAAAATGTTCTACCATCACCTAAGGAAACTAGCAAAGACACGAGCATCATGGAGTGGAAAGGGTTATTATGGATACACTGTGGTCAGTCCCAGCAAAGTTTTTGCCAGTGACCAATCACCTGAAGGTAGTGACATATACTCACCAGCCACTTTATTAGGTGCACCTTACTAGTGCCAAGAAAATATTTCCCACACCATTACATCACCACCACCAGCCTGAACTGTTGATACAAGGCAGGATTTATCCATGCTTTCATGTTGTTTACGCCAAATTTTTACCTCTGACATCAAGAAGGCATTTTCATCCACACAACTGCCACTCACTGGATATTTTCTCTTTTTCGGACCATTCTCTCTAAACCCTAGAGATGGTTTGTGTGTGTGAAAATCCCAGTAGATAAGCGGTTTTGGAAATATTCACACTAGCCTGTTTGGCACCAATAACCATTCCGCGTTCAAAGTCATTTAAATCTCTTTCTTCCCCATTCAGATGCTCAATGAACTTCAGCAAGTTGTCTTCACCACATCCACATGCCTAAATGCATTGAGTTGCTACCATGTGATTGGCTAATTAGCAATTTGTGTTACCAAGCAATTAAACAGGTGTACCGAATAAAGTGGCTGGTGAGTGTATAACCAATCTGGAAAGACCGGGAATCTCAGTGTATTGTATTGGCAGCTGACTGCTGGGAGATTAGGTTTGAGGTATACACTTTTCAAACCTCTTTTTTTTTTTCTAATCTGCCTGAATAGGTCCTCTCAGTACCATTTGGTACTAAGAGGACATCTCTAACATCTGTGGGCTGATGCCACATTGTCAGAAACAAATATTCTTGAAGCTAAGGGCTAGGACTTTTCCCATGCGATACAAGTAGTGAACTGGTCATACAGGAACACTTTCAGTCTATGGCCATTCTCCATGCACTGGAAGCGGGCAAGTGGAGGTGCCATGGACTTGGATCATACCAGTACCTGGAATACATGTGTGATCCAAAGGAGTGCTGAGCATGTTTGGAACTAATTTGGGTGCAGCTGCTCCAGGACGAGTATTGATTTAAGTACTCAAACATCTTCGGAGTTTCACTCTAGATTTGTGTAAGGTTTACAACCAAGGCCTTACTTTCCCCTCCAGAACATTCATTAGGAGTAAGGTTATTTACCCATAGCTGGATTAACTTATTTGGAAACATTTAGAACCAGATCGCCACTAAGTTACAGGCAGTTTAGCATGTGACCTTAAAAACACAGTTTAAATCAGGAAGCCAAGGAGTCAATTCATAGGAAAGCTATACCTGCAGTTGGAACCAGAGAAATCAGTTTTTCTTTCTACTATGCTGCAAAGTATCTGAGTGCACCAGGAAGTGATGGCGGCCAAAGGCAAGAGGTGAGAGAACACAGATGCATTGCAAGCACACCTAGTGTTTCTAGTAATTAGAACTGTGAAACACATGTATGTGGTTTTATGCACTTGGGGCTAAGAATATGCATGCATCATACATACTAGGGGGGGTACAACTGGGGGATTCAATGGTGGAGAAGGATCTGGGAGTTCTGGTAGATCACAAGCTTAATAATGGCATGCAATGCCAAGCTGCGGTTTCTAAAGCGAGCAAAATCCTCTCTTGTATTAAAAGAGGTATAGACTCCAGAGAGAGAGATCATATCACCCCGGTACAAATCATTAGTAAGACCTCATCTGGAATATGCAGATCAGTTTTGGGCACTAATTTATAAAAAGAACATTAGGGAACTGGAGAAAGTACAGAGAAGGGCAACCAAACTGATAAGAGGCATGGAGGAGCTCAGCTATGAGGAAAGATTAGAGGAACTGAATTTATTCTCTCTTGAGAAGAGGAGATTAAGGGGGGATATGATCAACATGTATACATACATCAGTGATTCATATAGTGAACTCTGTGTAGAGCTATTCACCCTGAGGTCATCACAGAGGACAAGGGGGCACTCTTTACATCTGGAGGAAAAGAAATTTAATCTCTAAACACGGAAAGGTTTCTTCACAGTGAGAGCTGTGAAAACGTGGAACAGACTCCCTCTAGAGTTGGTTCTGCCCACCTCAGTGGATTTCTTAAAAAAGGCCTGGATTATTTCTTGGATACACAGAATATAACTGCATACTAACATTTATAGGTAGAGTTGATCCAGGGAATATCCGATTGCCTCTCGGGTGATTAGGAAGGATTTTTTTCCCTCTGCAAGAGCAAATTAGATCATGCTTTGCTGGGGGGGGGGGGGGGGTGCCTTCCTCTGGATCAACTGTGGGTATAGGATTATAACTTTCTTTTTTATTTTGGTTGACCTGGATGGACTTTTGTCTTTTTTCAGCCAGACTAACTATGTAACTATGTACGGTATATATAATCTCATCTCAGACCAAAGTCCACAAAGTCCACAATCTAATGCTTTACAGAAAATCTTCTCAATAAGCACCTGCTCATTTCCTAATCCAAAGTCACACCATTTTCAATTCCAAAAAAATGGGAATGGAAATATTTTCAAGGTGTTTTGGCACTTAAACAAAATTAAACAACTGTAGTTGGTCCAATCTGCTTTTGGCTTAATCTAGCACACATGTCAAATGCAAGGCCCCAGGTCGAATCTGGCCCTCCAGGTAAATTTCATGTGGCCCTCGCACCTCTCCAGCAGAACCCCCCTCATTCTCTGCCCTCATCTTGTCTCAGCAGTCAGCAGCAGAGAGGACAGAACTCCTCCTACAGATCCTGCCCGTGCATCTGCAGTACCTCCTTGTCTCTACCTACCCTGGTCTCATCATTCAGCCGACTCCAGCCCTCCGCTGGTCCTCCTCCAGACCCTGCACTGTCTGATACTTAGCTCAGACCCATCTTTCTTCCCAGCAGCAGCACACAATAAGGGGATGCACTGTAATGTAAGGAGGATAGAGGGGACTCTTGACATCTGATGTAAGGTGGGATGAGGTGCTGTGGATGTCTAGTCTTACAGATGCAACCAACCCTTTGAAGGCAACCATAATGCTGATGCAGCCATCAATGAAACGGAGTTTGACACCCAATCTAGCACATCTGAGAAATGAGGTGCTAAGTAGGTGATTTAGCGATGATCTTCAAGTCCTCATGCACACTGGACGTTTATACAGCTGCTGTTTTTGGCTTTTGACATTTTCTTCTACAGCCAGTAAACTCCCCAGCATGTTATCCTATGTACATAAATAAAGTGTGGCGCTTAATGAATAAAATAAATATTCAGATGATCTGAAAAGCACAGTAAGGTATGGGACACAAACTATGATATAAATAACGCAGAAAAAAAGGTGACTAATACATCAAGTGAAAAAACATAACAATGTCCAGACAAAATGTCGCAGGATCCTGTGTGTAAAAAGCTGGATATATCAGGATCAAATGGTAGAATTGCTTTCACCGGACGCGCTAAGGATATGCGCATATGACAAACAGACCACCGGAAATCCCTCATCTAGTGGGGAGAGTAGATATCCATCTGGGCACAGATAATCCTGATGCTCCCTCTAATTGGTGTGTGGTAAGCAGTTTCCAGATCCAGGAGTCCACTCAGGGCTGATTAAACCTTTCCTTATAGGTATGGAACTCCCTCCGGTGGCAATAGTAGGCAATAGGGTATCCTGGAATTAGCTCCAAAAGGAGCCAAAAAAGTGCCTCATAGTGTAGTATTGTTTTAAAAACGAAAAATTTATTGTGTATATACAGCATAAAAACAGGGTGGAAACACTCAGGGAATAAAAGAGTGACTGACCCAAAAGTAAGATGGCCGCCGGGCCTCCTCGTGGCTCCGGGCGGCTAAGACGTCACGCTCTGTTGGCTCCTCCTAAGGCCTTTCGTGCCAGTGCACATCATCAGAGGGGAGGCCAACCCTCTGATGATGTGCACTGGCACGAAAGGCCTTAGGAGGAGCCAACAGAGCGTGACGTCTTAGTCACTCTTTTATTCCCTGAGTGTTTCCACCCTGTTTTTATGCTGTATATACACAATAAATTTTTCGTTTTTAAAACAATACTACACTATGAGGCACTTTTTTGGCTCCTTTTGGAGCTAATTCCAGGATACCCTATTGCCTACTATTGCCACCGGAGGGAGTTCCATACCTATAAGGAAAGGTTTAATCAGCCCTGAGTGGACTCCTGGATCTGGAAACTGCTTACCACACACCAATTAGAGGGAGCATCAGGATTATCTGTGCCCAGATGGATATCTACTCTCCCCACTAGATGAGGGATTTCCGGTGGTCTGTTTGTCATATGCGCATATCCTTAGCGCGTCCGGTGAGTGCGCAATTCTACCATTTGATCCTGATATATCCAGCTTTTTACACACAGGATCCTGCGACATTTTGTCTGGACATTGTTATGTTTTTTTCACTTGATGTATTAGTCACCTTTTTTTCTGCGTTATTTATCATAGTTTGTGTCCCATACCTTACTGTGCTTTTCAGATCATCTGAATATTTATTTTATTCATTAAGCGCCACACTTTATTTATGTATATTTTCTGAAGGTTTGCTGAGATTACCTTATGTGCTTTGGCTGCTGATTGGAGAGCGCTCACTTTTTTTTTTTTTTTTCTTTTTTTTTTTTTTCCATTTATGTTATCCTATGTGTCCATGCACACAGAATGTAATCGTTGTTTGGCAGGGGCGTTCTTTGGCTGGAAAAAACCCCCCAGAAACTAGTGGGTTTCTAGAGTTTTTTAGCTGTAGAAATGCAGCAAAACGTGGTAAATCGTGCCAAACCAGCGTTTTTTGGATATAAAAAAAAACCTATAAAAAAGCAGCAAAATGCTAATACAAAAGCGCTAAAAAACTCATGTTTTTAACGTAACTTTACACAGCTAATGTTACCAGAATTATTGAAATGCCCATTGTGCATGCAGCATAAAAGGCATCTAAATGTAGAGTGCACCTGCACATATGTACGAATCAATTGATCAGACTTTTTGGGATCTCTGTAGTATTACTATCTGCAACAGAAGTCTGAACGAAAGTTGAAGAAATGTGACCAGTGTCGATTGCACTACTAGATGGTAAATGATTAACTCTAAGAGGTATCAAGGGGAGTGGGAGTGAGAAACTGCGAACATAAACTGAGCACAACATGGGAGCTGGCTGGTTTTCATTATGACACACTGCAATCATAAGACTGTGAATGTACAGCAAGTTATATTCAAGTTAAAGCATAGTCACACAATTACTCATACCAGGACAAAAGCAATATAACAGGGTACAAGCTAAAGAAATTAAAAATAATAGTGCGGTTTGTTAAAAGTGCTAAAGTTAGCTGCTTGTTTGATTTATTATGGATCATCCCTATAGAAGCTTACTGCTTAGCTCAGTTTTTATCCACCCTACAACACCTAAGCCATTTCAGAACACATGCAAGCTTCTACTATCAGGTGGGTGTATTCTGAAGCACACATCTCTTTCTACAACACCCTCAAACAAGTAGCATTGCTCGTACCTATGCCACATGAATCAAGCTGATAAATATCATTCACCAACTGGAAAGTCTCCTTCTGACACTGACAGCAGCCACTGCTCAAGAATCCAGTGAGTCGAGAGGCCGGAGGACCAAGGAAAGGATACTGTAAAGAGAACCGCAAACAATTTAGAAACCTGGCAAATGTGCAGCAAATCCATAGGCTATGCTAGACTTTATGTACAGTACTACATCCATTAAAATTTTTAATGCAATAAATGTTCTGTAGACAAATTATATTTAAAGTAAAAAATACTTTTTGGCTTAATGTGTACAATACTGAGATGGCATAGTGTTTCCAGCTCTGCTAATATCAATGAGTTTACCATTAATAATGGGGATTCCTAGGAAAAGGGTCTCCCATCCTCTCCCCCCCCAAAAAAGCAAAGCAAAGGCTCCACCTTCCACACTTCTGAGGCTCTGGCTGTAAAACGCACAGCTTCAGCATGATAAACAATGGGTTTCCTGCACAGATAATCACAAATCAAAAATTTCCATAGCAAAAACGCATTGCTGTGCAAGGTACAGGTTTTTAGTGAAAGCAATATTCACAAGGTTATGGGCAGAACTTACTGTACAATAAGCAATATTTCCCCACTAAACAAATGTAAGCAAATATGTATTATCCAAATGTGAAGGTGTACGTCAAATGTGCTTAATAAATACAGGGAACTGCAGAATGTTTTTTCATAAATGCACCATATAGAAGAATCTTCAGGCAATAATGAAAAACAGCTAATGCTAAAAAGACACAAACACTTCTGTAGGGGTGTAATAAACATGCTGTACCTTAACGTTCTTCTCACTAAAACGTTTCCCAGAATCCACTGCCTCCTCAAACTGCTGTAACAAGGTGCGGACTGTATCAATCTTGGAGGATACCCCATTCTCTGTAGCCTTTTCAGAATTCTTGGGCTCAGTATGGTTGAGAGTGGTCAGACCACTGACCAATCTTAAAGTCAGTGATCGGATAAGCAGCCAGATACGTTCTTCTTCCAGTGAGAGATGGCTGTAATCTTCTGTATGGTCTCTAGAAAAAGGAAAACCGTGATTTCTATAACACAACAAAATCTGAATAGTAATTACTGTACGTCAGCTTCCACCTTTGGAAATAGAAATGCCTAAGCTCCCATTTATAAAAAAAAGTAGAATGGTATTAACGCTGGTTTATAATTGTGGCTGGCTGGGGGGGGGGGGGGGGGGGGGGTAGATAGAATTTAAGGTATAGACCAGAGGTAGGCAACCTTTTAAGCATAGTGTGCTGAAAATATTTTTCCAAGAAACAAGAGTGCCAGCTACATAAAAAAATAATGCCAACTTCACATACTTAGTCACGAAAAGGACATTTTTCTAAAGTAAATGTTATAAATAACCAATTCCTTCACGTTCACCCCTCAATTCAGCCCAATACCTGCAGATTCACCCCTCAAATCAGCCCCAACTCCTGTACATTCACACCTCAGTTGACCCCATTTCTAGCATCTTCACACCTCATATCAGTCCCAATTCCTACACCTTCACACTGCTAATCACCCCAATTCCTGTAGATTCACCCCTCAGATCAGACCAAATTCCTGCACTTTCACACCTCCAATTAGCCCAATTCCTGCATATTCACAATGAAATCACCCCAATTCTTGTGTCTTGTATATTAAGGAAGTAGTGCATACTACAGAGCCATCAAGACATGTAAGCCAGGAACTTATGCAAAGGGGTACAGGGAAACCCTTGTTTTACCTTGTCTGTGTTCAGGATCCAGGCTTTACCCTTCACTGTGGGCATACCCTTTAAAGGGAACTTCAGGGTCTGGATGCCACAGGAATGGACCATGACCCTGAACGTGTATAGCACTCTGTGTCTAACTACACTCTTTTCACCACCTGCCAGGGTAAGAGTTGAACACAGGATCTAGTACCCAAAGCAAACATTACATGCCGGCCCAGCTTTGGTTTCAGGTATGGTTCTCAAAAGGTATGCTCGAATGGTCGATCAGGAAACTGCGAGTGACTCATGCGTGCAACAAGCAGTCAAATCTTGACAAAAGTGTCAGCCCAATGGAGGTAAAATAAATCTGGTGAAAAATAGTACAAAAGTCTTCTCCAAAAAGAAAAGGCATCCATCACTTAAGAACACTGGAGCCTCACTGAATGTCTGACATTATGAATACACTAGGGGGTGGACCCAGCAAAGCTATTGATTGCAACCAATCACCTTAAGGTAGCAGCATATAAACCATGTCTCTAATACTTATAATATATTTAGAACAGAAGTGAGATGGAATCAACAATCACCTTTTAAAGGCCATTCCACCTAAAGCGGATCTAAAAGGTAAACAACCTGACAGCTTGTTGGGTTGCCACAATCCAATGGATTTGTTTATTTGAGATGGAAATGCAACAAGAGCTGGAGCAAAGAGGTAGAAAACTTTTTGTCAAACCAAAAACAGTGAATTCAGTTTTTTGTACTGCATGAAAGTCACAGTACAAGCCAGATAATCTAATCCATCTACTGAGTGTCAAGTGAAGTGAAGAGCATTGCATTTAATGCTACAACGCTTTCCAACTTAAACTATTTATTTATGCAAAAGGGTTACCAGCTACATTTGTGATTTAACCCTACAAGTATTGTTCAAGGTCAAGTGGCCCGATTACCTGAAATTACACACACCAACCAGCAAGGGAGGTGCATATGAACAACCTAAATATAAAAGTTATTACGCAAAAATACTGAGGACCAGCATGCGTACTCCATAAATCAGGGCGGAAACCCAAATCTAAATTTCAAAATGGCTGTGCTAAACACTGAACCCTCCCTATTAATCGGGAAGATCCCTCCTCTTATACATGCAAGCACACAGAAAAGGATAAACCAGAAGGTAGCATCCAAATTCCAAGGATACTATGGCTAAGGAGTACGGCCTTAGGGGAGGTGCAATGCCTTCTATAAGCAGGATACACACAGGGAGTTTATTTCCATTTTACCCAGTGGGCTAAATGGGGGCCATACTAAGTGATGTTAGTGTGATCTGCCCTGCTGAGCTATTGTATTCTGAGGGTCTAAAATATTTACCTATTATCTGCATCCCAACTGAAAAGAACAGTCAGATCCCGGTTATCTCGCAAGTCCTGCCATGGAATGTCATCCTCCTCTGGAATCAGACACATTGACTTGATGCTCTCTTCCAGACTGCTGGAACTGACAAAAAGAAAATTTTTTTTTTCCATTAACAGAAGAAGCACAAAATAAGGAGATACAAGCTATGATATACGAGCAACAGTGTCAGCTAGAAATAAAATTACTACTCACACATGTGCTTCAAGTAACAGGTCCAGTAACATTCGTTCAGTTCGAACTTGTGCAAAATGCAGAGAATTGTTCAATCGGTTTCTAAAATCAATAAATTCTGGGATTTTCTCAAAGGCTCCATATTTATAAGCTTGTATAATATATTCTGAGGTCTAACAAAAACAGAGAAAAAAAATATTTTATTAAAACAGACCGAGAAATTAACAAATGAAAACCTAAAACACATCAAAATAAAAAGGGGAAAAAATACATCAACGCTTTCCCGCTGGCTGTACACATATGCGGGAGGATAGGCTAATGGTAAGTGCCTGTATATATGCGCCCATGGGTAATGCATTACTGTGCTGACCGCACACTCTCTGCGTGCTCCCAGCACAGTAACTAAAATGTCGGAATCTCTCAAGGCACACTTGTAATCAGGAGCAGCTTCCGATCATGTGACTGCTGTAAAAGCCAATCACAGTAGTCACATGATCGGAATGCCCACCGCCGGGCATTTAGATTCTCTTATAGAGTCAGCGAGCAGCAGCGGGAAGGGATTAAACATACTGTAGAAACATGAGCACAAAAAGAAAGCAAATGGAAGATGTTAAACCAGTATCCAGCAAATTTTACAACAATGATTTTAATAAAATTACTTGCATTGTGAAATAATCAACTTGTGTTTTTCATCTGGTAAGGTGTGCATTGATCAGGTCATTTCACGACGTAATGTGTTGCCCTGTATGCACAGCCTTTAGCAGAATAAATCTTAACATTCCAGTGTCACAAGTTTCTGTTTGTGTAGAAACATGAGGCATGTGGAATGGTACTGCACAGGTTAACTTGTAACTGAAGGCAAAATGTTTTAGTTTTGGGTAGTGGAGGGGGATTAGAACACCTGTAAGATTTTTTTTTTTTAAGCCTTCCACTGGTTACCCTCCATTAAATTTCATCAACATGATATCTGCATGTTGCTGGCTAATACACCACTGTTACAGTTTGTGATCTAGAGAGCATATTCCTAAGTAGTTCAATCAATGGTGTGCACTGGAACACATATGGCTCCTTAGGCCGTTTTAATGCATAATATTGACCATAGGCATATGTCATTAGTACGGACAATGTCTTAATTCACTGTGTATGACGGGTGTTTGTTTGTCCCTTTCTGCAGCATAATGTTCTCACATTAATCTTTGATTAAATAAAACAGTTTTGTATATTATTTTCTAATAGGCTACTCTGCTTGGGTATTTATATTTGTCCTTTACAGCGGTTTGCTTTCTTGATGTGGAATGGTACTGCACAGGTTAACGCATAACTGAAGGCAAAACATTTTAATTTTGGATAGAGTGGAGGATTAGAACATCTGTAAGATTTTAATTGCAGTGTCCTCTCTATTTGTCATCTTGATCATCACCAAAAGTAAAAAAAAATGAAATACAAAAATTTTTGCATGCCCACAGAATAGTAATAGAGGGGAAGTTGTCCAATGGGGATACTAGTTCTGGTGACAGAATCCACGGAATCTCTTTCACTTCCTGTTTTGACTATGGGACAAGAAGTGAAGGGAAAACTCTCCAGTGAGACACAGATGGCACCCCCCCCCCCAAAAAAAAAAAAAAAACACTGCATAACACCATCACACAACCAACAGCGGTAAGAACATTTCATTATAAACAAAAAAAATCCTCAAAGCGATTCAGTAGCACAAGATTGCATAAACATAAATATCAAAGTGAAACTCAAAAGTGAAAAAGTCCAAGAAAGTCCTTGATGAGCCCAAAAATCTTCAAATTCTCCAAGAGAAATCACCGCATGTGCAAAATATATAGTAGCCCCCTTTTGGGTGTGCACTCACCACATAGCTATGCCTCCCATTTTCATAGTTGCCTAAATAACTTAAAGATGTTTATCCAAAGAGAAGATCAACTCCCACTCAATGACCATCCCCTCCTCAGATTCACCAAGATATCCCTCTTTTTAAACTACAGATGACATTTCATAGATTGATGAATAATTGGTATAAAGGTGCTAAGAATGATGTACAGCCAACCTCCTCCTTCCTTTGTGATCGGCTCTCAGATGGTCTACACAGGGTTAAAAGGTTTCTTCCTCTGTGCTGAAAGGGTTGAATGGTACAGTGTTGCATGACCGTGCAATTGTCATTCAAAGTGCAACAGCGCTGAAAGCTGGAAATTGGCCTGGGCAGGAAGAGGGTATAAGTGCCCTGTAGGCTAGTGGTTAAGTTCTACTTAAAAGTAGAGCTTAACTCACCTAATCAGTGCTGTAGTTCCCTGCAGCTCTTGGCCAGCTGCTGACATTTTGGCCGGTCTGCTTCCAGGTATTGATCTCCAGCTGTTTTCATTGGCTGAACCATGATGACTTCACACTTGTACAAGCAGGAGTTCATCTTAGCACTGCTGAACGTGTACACCAAGCTGCAAGTGTGCAACCCAGGATACAGCGCAGACAGGCAGGTAAAAAAAAAAAAAAAACTTTCATGCAGAGGAGACATAGTAGGTCTCTTCTGCAATAAAGATCATGCCTGTTTGTAAATTTTTGGTTTTCTTTTTTTATAAAGTTCCACTTTAATGCATGGTCTCTGTCTGTCGTTTGAGAACTGCATTTTTCTATGAAGAAACTACATATCTCACAATCTCTGGGTCTCTAGGTCTAGTGCTGGTACAGGCTGGTACAAGCTGCTTGCTGATCCTTGCATATTCTAGTTGTTAGTCCCCTCCTGTGGCCATTATAAGGGATTCCACTGTCCATGCTGGATTTTTTACTTATTTTATATTATGGAGAATGCAACAAGAGGAACTGAAGCATGCAAAATGTTAGTAAAACACAAATATCCCAAGCATAAAGATAAGCTCAAGAATCAGAGCAGGGAAAATCTCGAAGTTGGGATACGCAAAAACAAACAAAGCTAAAGACTGACTCATCCAACTATGCTGAAAGTATAAATAAAATCCCTTTTGTGGTTGGAATGGCTCTTTAAGGCTGGGTTCACACATATGCGGTGCAGAATATCGCACAGGAACCGCACCGCATTCCTGTGCAAATCACATGCAAATTCTGTGCAGTGAGATTTGAGCCATACATTTTGTATGGCTCAAATTGCACCGCATCTGCAGCAAAAAATGCAGGACCCTTTTTTTGGTCCACACTAGAATCAGATCGCATGGGTATTCACACCCATGCGATCCGATTCTGCACATCACACCGCTTTTCGCAGACCAATTTCGGGGTGTTAACATACACACCCGTAGCAGTTCGCATGAACAGGGTGCAATTCTGTTGCAAAGTGGAATACACACAGAAAACACTGCAAATTCCGCACTGCATCATGAACCCAGGCTGAAACATACATTTGTAATAGGCAAAGTACTAAAGAAATGATAGGAAAGGCATCACAAATATTTTAATTATAAAAAAAAAAAAAATCTCAGTCATACAAGGAAAAATGTAAAGCTTGGCTTTTATAAAAAGGTAAAAAGTAAGTTAACTGGTCCAAATAAAATGCCTACACAAAATACTCACATCTTTCTGGTTTGAGTGGAAAAACCTTAATGCGGCATTGCAGGCTTGTGATGCAGAGTTATAGTGACCCAAAGCTCCTCCAAAACGAGTCAGCAGGTAACTGCAAAAAAAGAATTACGGTTACATTCCCACCAGCATCATGCAGTCATTTTCCAACATTTAAGTTTGTGTAAACACCACCAATGAGTTTTCTGATTTGCTCCTTTTTTCATATTAGAGTTTTTTTTTGAAAGCAACGTAAAACCTAACAATGCACTTTGTATATCTGCTCCCTTTTGGTCTGTTAAATATACTACTGAATGCATTTTTGTTATAGCTTGATGTTGATCTGACCAAAATAAAGTTCTGTCCTGCAGATTCTGCAGTGTTATCTCAAGCAGTCCTATCAGCACTGTTCATTTCCCCCAGCGGACTTCAGAACACCTTTCCTTTGGTGTGGAGAGGAGGAAGGGGGGAAGGTGTTCTGTAGTCCTAATGCACTTCATGTTCTAATTAAATTCTACTCCTCCACAGAAACAGTACATTTCGGAAAACACTCTTAGGTTACGACATGAAGTGTGTAACTTGCAGGACCAGCACATTCCAAAAAACAAACAAAAAAAAAAAAAAAAAAAACAAAAACAAAGAAAAAAAAAAGGCAGCAAGAAAGAAAAAACAAATACAGGTACATTTAATGACTATTAAGCTGCTGAAAAAAACCCCCCAGAATTAATGACTTACCTGTGACATTTCTTGCTTTGGACTACAGTACAGAATACATATTCATAGACCATAGGTTATATGTAGAATAAACGGATTGGACACTGGCAATAAAACTTGCTAGGGCCTCCCCTAGTGTACACTCATAACCCCACCCATTCTTATGCTCCAGTTTTTTTTAGCAAGCAATGAAGGAGTGAACAAGAGGGGAGCGGACTTTATGGCATCATGCACTCTAAGAGAAGGAATTTACAGTAAGTCAGTTCCTGTTATCCTAATCATACAGTACAGGGGGTTTGTATTTATAGGCCATGGGACATCCCCAAACAATAAACTAAGGGGTGGCCAACAATATAGCAAACAGAACTGCAAACAGGCCTACAATGAGAAAACAAGGGTTAAAAAAAGAGATAAAAGTTTGAAGCACCTCTCAGCTGAAGTTTGCATCCGACGAAGTCTGAACATCCACCTGGTAAAACTTGGAGAACATGAACAGAGCACCAGCTGGCATCCCTGGGATACAATGCTGAAAAGTCCAAGACACCAAAAGCTCTACTGGAATGAGCTCTGTTGAAGAAAGGAGGAACCCTTTCCTTAAAGCGGTAGTAAACCTTGCGGCTTCACAACCGGTTTACTGCTGTGCATGAGCAAAGTGCGCTGCGCTTTGTGAATGGGCCCATAAAGTGTCCCAGAGGGCTGTGTGTGTGTGTGTGTGGTCAAATGTGGAAAAACCAGCTCAGTTAAGTGAAGCTTCCACTTTTGGGTGGAACTCTGCTTTAAGTTTACTTTCTTTTCATCTGAAGCAGTCAGACTGGAAGGTAAAAATAAAAATGACTGGACCCAGAGGTCCGTAACCTCAGATCCATGTTGGCACAAACAGGCGTCCTCCCACTCTGAGGAGTGGAGGCAACCCTTAATTGTGAGGAGGGCTTCTGGGCAGGTTTGGTATATTTAAAGAGGAGCTTTAAAAAAATAATTTTAGGTATGAAGATTACTTACAAAACTTTTTTTCTGAAAGAAGAGACCCTGGGAAATATAATGGTGGTAGTTAAGTGTTCTTGCATGGCAAGACCACTTACTGTTATCTCACATATATGTTCTTATTATAGCCAAATTTACCACCCTAACTCCTCCCACAGTTTTTACACTACATAGACAGTAATATACCGAAACGTGCGGATTGTTTTTGATTGGTGTGCTATTACTTTGTGGAACGTTTCACCGAATGGTTCACGAAATATCGGCGTTTTTGTGGTGAAATTGGTCCCATAGGAATGAATGGCGGAATGTTCAAAACTAGAGTGGGAGCTGACAAAAGTTAGAGTGGGAGCTGAAAAATCAGGACATGATTTCTAAACTGCTATCACTCCCTCATTTTCAAGCCCACCTACACAAATCTTATATCAAAACTTTCAGCTATCCCTGCTGCCACTAAAAATGTCCACGCCTAAGCCATAGTCCTAATAGTTTTCACAATATGACCATTTGTTTGCAACTCACGCCACCCATTGACATGCATTGAAACTCCACTCTAGCCACCTCAAATTTGAAGGGCAATTTCTAAACTTCGACTGTGCCTTCATTTTTAATATTTCAGAGACATACTATTCATCAAAATGTAGGTCTGGGTCTTGTGATTCTCACAATATAAAGCTCTTCAGTGAAGGATTTATAATTTTTAAACTACAACCGTTTGAAGATGGCAACCGCCAGTGAAGTGAGCAAGTTCGAAAAGTTTGTTTTTAACCGCTCTTCTCTGCCCTTGCTGTAGAGTGAGTTTCCATAGGAACCCAGGTGTGTGAGCAGGCAGCAGAGTGACAAAAGCTAGAGTGTGAGTTGTAGGCTACTGGTGGAGGCAAGAACACTTCACACAATTTCCCCAGAAATTGTAGCTTTTCTAGTTTTTTTATGCCATGCAATATTAGTGCAATGGTTTATGCAAAATGTCAGTAATAAAGGCACTAAAGCTAATTTGAGGACACACTCACACAAAATATTACCAATTTTTTTGGAAAACATAAAAACTATGAGGGTGCACCGAGTAAACAGATAATAATGGCAAGCATTATATGCGTCACGAACACGGCAACAAGCTTCGGTACCCTAAATTTTTCATAAGCAATTCTTTACAGACCCCTACAGAAGTCAGTTTAGAATTAACGGTGAAGACAACGCATGCATGGGTGACTGGAGCGGATGATACTCTGACCACTCTGCATATTCCCAACATTCGCAGGGGGTAATTCAGTGGCCCCAGACCACATTGCCCAGCCACTTACCTGGGCCACTTGCTGAGAGAGTGGAGGCTGCCCACCAGACCGGCCGGAAAATCCACGTGAGGATCCTGCGGTGCCACCAGGGGAACGGGATGGGGGAGGCAAGACGGCATTCAGCACTGGCTCCTGGGCCTGCTCAGCTGCTGAGGGAGTGTAGCCAAAGCCACAGAGGACCATGCCCTCTTCCTCCATTCCTGGGACTCAGAGTGAAGGATCCCCCAGCTCCCTGGCTCACGTGACAGACATTTCTGCTCCTTCTGGCTCCCTCCCTAGCACCTATTATTATAAATACAGGATTTGTATAGCACCAACAGTTTGCGCAGCACTTTACAAAATGAAGGTAGACATTACAGTTACAATACAATTTGGTACAAGAGGAAACAGAGGGCCCTGCTCGTTAGAGCTTACAATCTAGGAGGGAGGGTTGAGTGAAAGGTAATAGCTGTGGGGGATGAGTTGATGGAGGAAATAAAAGGCAGTTTTCTAGTTAGAAGCAGGATAGGCTTCTTTAGAGAGAACGGTTTTCAGGTATCGTCAAAGGGTTGATAGATTAGGAGATAGCTGGAAAGATTGGTGTAGGGAGTTCCATAGGATGGGAGAAGCTCGGGAGAAGTCCTGGAGGTGAGCATGGGACGAGGTGACACAGGAACTATAGAGCAGAATGTCTTGGGAGGATCGAAGAGAGTGGTTTAGTTGATATTTTGAGACCATGTTGGTGATGTAGCTGGGGGCAGAGTTGTGAAGGCATTGTAAATTATTAGTATTTTGAATTTTATTCGTTGGGCGAGTCAAAGCCAGTGGATGGATTGGCAGAGAGGGATAGCAGACACTGAACGGTTGGTAAGGTGGATGAGCCTGGCAGTAGTATTTATACACTATTCAGGGGATTCCATACTTATCGCCAATTTTGTTGATTTACTTCAGAGGGAAACAGATAAAACTACCAGTAAGTTGGCCTCTGACCTGAAACAGGATTTTAGGGAGCTGGGAAATCATCTGGAGAATATCGAATCTAAAGTTGATGATACCATCCACAGAGCGACTCAAAATTCTAACATGCCTGCCAACCTGCAAGATCGCCTAGATGAAGCTTACAACAAAACAGATGATCTTGAGAATCGTGCTAGATGGTACAACTTTCGCATTAGAGGACTTCCTGAAATGGTAAAAGATATCGCCTCAATCGCCCATTTCCTTATGCATTCTGCGGTGCTGACTATTGAAAAAAATCCATCTGGGAATAGATCATATCCACAGAGCTTTAGTCTCCTCAGGATGTTATTGTAAAGCTCCACTTCAACAGGGTAAAGGAGGCGGTGATGCGATACGCTCGGGAACATCCAGATTTGGAAGTTGATGGTTACAAGATCCAAGTCATCGCAGACATCTCTTAAGCAACCATTCAAAAATGGAGAACCCTCAAACCGTTGCTCTCGCCCCTAATCCAGAGGGACAACCACTACAGATGGAATTACCCGTTTTGCCTACAATTCATCTACAACGGCAAATCCTACTCCTTTTCCACATTTCTTGGAGAAAAAATTTTTTTGCTGAACTTGGGCTTCATTTCCCTCAGCCCCGCCTCACGGGACCAGTCAAAAGCCAACGGACCACCTCCGCCGCGTTCACCCCTTTGGTCCTCCACCTCCAGGAAGAAACCTGCAACCCCACACTGGGTGTCTTGAGGACTATGTTTCCTGCTAGTTGATTCATTTAGCGGAAGCCTCTCAGTGGTCCCAACATAGGACATTGGCCTTCGCTCATGTTTTTGAAATGTCTTTCTGAAATACTTTGTACCCTAGCAGCGTCGTCCTCGACTTCTTTACTGGTTTAAATTGTTTATATTTTGTATAATGATTCTGTGGCTTTGGGAGCCTCTTATATATGTTTCATGTGGACCCCGAGGTTCTGGGAAGAGTCTATGCGCTCTCCCTAATTGAAAAACTCTCCTTATTGCTTGGCCTTGATGGAGACTCTTCCGTCCCTTGACCTTGTCTCTAGGATATGTTATTTTATTATCTTATGTTATATATTACTATTTGCCAGTTGGTTAGATGCTGGCCATTCCTCGGTTCCGGTATCTCGTCGTTTACTTTCTTAATCTTTATTTACTATCTCTATTTGA